AGGCGCGCGCTACCGGTAAGCGCTATCTAGAAGGCGCGACATTAGATCGCATTTGTCGCCGCTTAAAAGTCCATGAGGCCCTCGAAAACCTCAACATAGTCTTTAGGGTCCTTAGACCCGTCATAGRGCTTCATGGCGGGAGTCTTGAACTTCGGAGGGATTGGAGCCTCCAGGATGTCCGCGGTGAATGGCGATTCTCCTAAGTCGCCATCGTCGAACGAACAGTCTTTCTTCTCGCACCTGGCCTTAAGCGCCTCGACCTGCTCATCGAACTTGTGCTTCATCAGGTCGAACTCTTCCCTCGTGATCACAGTTTCTGGTGCCATAGGCTTGTATTTTGATTGAGCCTTTAGGCTCGAGTTGGAGAATTCTCGGGAGTAGGAAGGAGAGTCTTCTGGCTCCCGAGATGCTCTCTTCTTCTTTTCAGTGAGATGCTTTCTCAAATCGTTATCCCGCAAGCTGTAATCCACTCCCCCATCGTTAGGAATGGGCTCGCGATCGCCAGGTTAGATAGATGGAGCTCCCTTTTCACCGGGTGCGCCCGGAGCCATAGAGGGAGACTCAGTTCGGTTAGCACGCGTTGCCTCGGCGTACATTTCTTCCATTGTGCTCAACCGATGGCGCATATCATCCAACTCGCGCTGGAGAGTAGACAGAGCTTCGGGGTCTGCTTCCTGATTGGCCCTTTGGGAGGTTTTTCTCGACGTCCCTCCTCGGCCTCTGTTGGCTTTTGAGGGTTTTGGGTGAGCAGGTGGTAGCTCTTGGTTCGCATGGCGGGCAGATCTTCGCGGCAGATCTCCCTCTTGCCCTGCTCGGACATGGTCCTCGACTATTCTTGCACCGAGGTCTTGCTGAGGGCCATTGTCAGCGTTCACACCCCTCTGTTCTGTCGTATTGGCAGAGTTTGCTGGATGCACCATCTTTGCGTATATATATATTTTTTAGATCGGGATGACTTTAGATGTCCTTCCCCACAGACGGCGCCAAATGTTTATGCAGGAATCTGCATAACGGTTCTTCACGAATCGAGCTCGAACCCGGTCTCCGATTCCGACCTGTACACTAGAGTGGACCTGCACAAGAGGGTGAACACTCCGACGCTCAAGTCAGTATAGATCGGACTCCTTATTTAGTTCGAGGTGAGATTCGATACCTGAGCGTGAAATGAACTCCTCTATTTATAGGTAATGGGCCCGACAGCGCACACGACCGGCGGTTACATGTCTTTTCTCATATCGGACCTGTCGGGTTCCGAGCAGGTCGGACCACGGTCAGGTCGAGCTTTGGTGCCCATACTTCATCTTTTAAGGGGCAAACTCGGTTCACCTCGGCGAGGCCGAGGTGGACCTAAGCAATCCTTTTTATCTAATTTCTTCCAACATGAATAATGGTCCTCCACGTGTCCCGGGTAAGTTTACCCCCAAACACATCACATTCGATTTTATCTTTAATAATAATACAATAATTTTTTTTACTATTTTAATACTGTAATTTGTTTTATGTTTGGTTATTATTCACATAGTTTTTGTCAACAACATTAAAAGATTTTTTTTATTCCGATTCCAAAAGTTTTATAGTAAATAACATCAAAGGAATAACATTCTCGTTTCGATTGATTTCCATTCTTATCGATTTTCATTTCGATTGGGTGCAAGTAAACCATGCCTAACTCTTCTTCTCAAGTTTCTTTCTTTTTCTTTTTCTTTTCCTTTTTTCAAGTACCTTCTTATTCTCAGATCGGTAATTACAAATTGATATCATATTTATATATTCATAAGGGTGTAAAAGCTTAAATATAATTTTAGTAAACTATATAACATTGCGGTTATTCACAAGTAGTACTCACAATTGGATAGAAAAACAATCACATAGAATCACGAAACCTTTTACTTGCCAAAACGTTAATATTTGTGACCACATGCACCATAAAGGCACTTATTCATTATTAAGGTGGAAACAAAACACAAAACTACTTAATTGAAATCTAAAACAAGTTCATTATATCTAATCTTTTATTTTTTGTCCCTTCACAAATCTCTGGGATTCAAGCAAATTTTACGCTCGGATTGAGAGACGCAAACTTGAGAAATTCAGGGTCATTTTCCAACAAGTTCATTGTTTCATCATCGAGTGTAATCCATACTTCTAATCCTTCACCGATTGGTGTGTCAATCAACACAATTACGTTCCTTTCGATAGACTCGCCAAACGTTCCACCGCATGCAACCCATGCAGGCCTTCCCCACCCAAAATTGACTTCATTAAATCCCATGTTACGCCAGCTTGTAAACAAAAATGTCTCCGAGCTTTTTGCATAAATTTCATGCAACTGTTGTAATGATTTCAAAAAAGTCTCGAATCCATCATCTCCTGTTACTTTCTGTATGAAATCATTGTTGATTTTGGACAATGATTGTCTCAGTAATATTACAAGATCGGCCAGCTCCATGTCTGAACTTGATGCTTCATAATATGTTGAGCTTCTCCATAAAATGTTGCCAACTTCATTTTCCGACAAGGGTGGTTCTATTCTTCTTCGCATGTCAACAAAATGAACCACGGCTGATCCCCGTTTTGGGTCTTCACCACAAGCTAGTTTCTTGTCTGTTATTGTCACATAATACCATATTATTAATACAATGGTTTTAAATATCCGTCACATGTCGACATCTCCATCGACATATTCATATTTTTATAGACTCGACATTGAGATAATAGGTAAATTGACATTTCTATACCATAGTACAAGAAAATCGATAAAATACGACAAATATCAACAACATGTCACTAATATATACATAATATTAAGATAATTATTTCTAACTAATTTAGAAACATGAAAATGTTTATTTGTCCATTTAAATATTTTTTTATATTTTTTTTTAATTTTTTAATTTTTCTAAACTTTTATAGAAGTATCTATTGATATTGACATGTTATCAATATTTCTATGAAATTGAGACCTCAACATTTTTATCAATATCGACATTTAAAACTTTAGATTAATAACATAATTTTAAATATTCGTTAACACGTCAGCATTTCTATCGACATAGACATATTTTCATGGATTTGACATTAACACGAAGAACAAATTGACATTGCTATTATAGTACAAAAAAATAGACAAAATATAAAAAATATCAACAAAATGTTACATAATAATATTAAGATTAATTATTTTTAATTAATTTAGAAATAGGAAAATGATTATTTTTTCATAATTTTTCTAAATTTTTATAGAAATATCCATCGCTAGTGACATTTCCATACAGTTGAGAACTCGACATTATCGGCATCCCCATTTAAAACCTTGATTAATTAGAAACAGTAATTAAACAAATCCAACGTGTTCTTACCGGATGATGTACATGATCTAGATGCTTTCAGGGCATACTTCCAAACCAAAGAAGTTACAACTTCGACCCTGGATGGATATGGAACACTTGCAGATTTAGCTTTGCCTTTCAAATTTGCTATTGCCATAGCATCCAAAACAAACCTTCTTGTAGTGCTACTTTTTCCTTTCTTCACCACAAATGGAGTTTCTTCAGAACACACACCATAGCCATCCCAAATTTCTCTCCTTGGGAACAGAGAAGAACCCAAACCAAAACTACCACACACCAATTTCCCTGCTCTCCCTTCACAAGAGGCAGCCCAAGATCTGATAAACGCACTCCCGGCCGTTCCATCCATGACTTTGTGCAAAAAATAAGCACCAATTGCAATGCCACCACATTCAAAGACATTCACTTGGACTGTGATTTGGAAGGCCTTCTCCGATGGCCCATTTGGATTAGAGAGAGGAAGGAATTCTGCAAGCAATTGCAGATTTGGGGCTTTGAGAAACTCAGCCATGGAGATTTTGGCTTTGGCCTCCACAAACAGAGCTCCCACATCCTCTTCATTGGAGCAATGGATTGAGTCTCCTTTGAACTTTCCAGCCACCATTGGGAAGCGAACCAATGCTTGTGAGAGAGAAAGCTTCAATCTTGAAGTTGCATTATGAGAATGTTGTTGATTATTGTTGTTCATGGAGTAGAAGAATATGATGGGATTGTAAGAATTAGGAGCCAGGATGTCGAGCATTGAGACTTGGAAGGATTTGAGGCCATTGTTAAGGGATTTTGAGGGCTTGATTATCTCTCTTGAGATGATTTCCACTTCCATAAATCTAAATTTTTCTCTCTTCAACTAATGCAAGTGAGTTTGTTGTTCCAAATGAGAGGATATATATAGAAAGAGATGATATGTCGGAATTGAAAGAACATGATGCAGCCACGTAGTCCACAACTGTAGTCCACAACTGTTGTCTCACAACAATTTTCACGTGGTCTTTGTTTCCGACCAATGTATTTATTACTTTTGTACCTCGTTTTGTCTCTTTGATTTTTTTCTACTACCAATTCTCGTATGTATAAAGCGTTGTCATGTCATCGCCGCACAGCCCACCAACGTCATATTCTAAAAAGTATCAGAAAAATTGGGATTTTTGACCCACCAATAGTTCAAATTGGATAAATGAACCCATTTCAAAAAAACCTAATTTTTGACCCCACCTCTACTTAATTTTGAACTCACCTTTAGTGAAAAGACAAATATATCCTTATTTATGATACATTCACTTCCCCATTAACTTCCACCCAACCATTTCACCAAACTTTTAACCTCATATTTTACTTATGTTTTGAGTTTGAAACAATCCAAAATTTTCACACCATCCAAACTCCTCACAGATCACGTTTTTTAAAATCCGGGAAAGAAACATTGTCACGTGTTTGATCATTGTCCCCACACTATCTAAAATCGTTGTCCCCACATTTTCACATTTGAAGAGTTAGAGGTACGTTAACATAAAAATTTCTGAAATGATTTGAAATATTTTCCATTCATACATTTTCACTTGGCTTCTTGGAAAAAGAAAAAAAAATGCAGTCGGTATCCCGGACCAAGTATTGTTCCGAGATTGAAGCTTCGAGATCCGGGATTGAATGTTCAATCCCGGACAAATCATGTTCAATCCCGGATCGAAAGATGGTTCGGGAGTGAACCGGGATACATCCCAGACCAATCTCGAAGCACTGTGGTCCAGGATATGTCTCGGACCAAGACTGGTCCGGGACGACATGTATTTTGTTATTTTTTTACCACTTTTTTTGGACGATATTCTTATCTCACTTGATTTTATCTATTTGCAGAATGCCTCGTGTCTTCATAACATTTGGTGGAGAATGGAACGATAGTGAAAAAGATTACGTTGGTGGTCGCACGAGAGGATTGACAGTGGATAGTACAACCACGTACAGAGAATTTGTAGGTCACGTGTATAGATTGAGTAATATAAACCCCCTTCAGTTCGATATTATAATTAGACGCATATATCATTTTAAAACTAAAGTTTGTGTAATGGAGATAACTGATGACGATGACCTGAATTTTTTTTTAACTGGTGAATTTTTCTGAATTGCCTATATACATATCTACTACGCCAAAGCAGGTACATGAGAATGAAACGTACATGCCTTCTTTCCCATATCATGTAGGCCAAAACGTGTCCTCGAGTTGTATGCCCACAGCTTGTATTCCCCCATTCCAGAGACCCACAGATTTGGTACATTCATTTCCTTCCTCATCATCGAACCCCTCTTCTTCCCAACAACCACACCCCTTTTACGGGCATTTAGGTCATGATATAGCGGGTTTAACACCATTGGAATCAGATGTTGTTTCATGTAACCTAGGAGATGACAGGGTATGTGATTGGAATGTGCCGGGATTACTGAATGATAATCAAGATGAAAGTGATGAATCATATGACCCGTTGGAGAGTCAGAAGAAGGAGACTATGAAGCAAAATTTGTGAATGATGACTATGACGATGCACTTG